TGATATATGAAATTGGACTCCTTGTAGGCACAGTCTACAGGCGGCTCTTGTTCCCTAACCTGCTGGGACATATTCCGCGATTTATCTCCCTCACAAAGCTTTAGGGGCGGGGCGGTGAGGACTCTCAAGGTTGGGGTTCAACCTTTTTATTTTTATTTTTTAATATCTAATTCTACTATCTAGTTTTCAATCCCAATAGCTGTTTGACCATTTTTTTGGGTATTGAGCGATCGATAGATGGCTGCAGAGCTGCAAGTGCTATCACCATTCGTTCCGGTTTGCAAGGTGGAATTTCACCAGTAATGCAAGAGGCACAACGACGGCATCCTATCCTAATTTTAATGGCAGATTCTTTTGCATTGCCAGTTTACGAGAGGCTTGCCTCTGGCTGTTTAGTGCGCAGGATGTGCCTCATGGCTCCTTCTGGTAAATTCATCTTACCGAATATGAATTCTTTAATTGGTTTGTTATGACTTATTTCACCAGCTCAAGACTTGTTTCTTTCACATTTATTGAACTATAATAGTGTATTAAAATGCAAGAAACTGGTTGTTTTAAATTAGAAACTGATTTTTGTCATTTGATGTTTAGGTTATATGGGTAGAACATGTACGACTTTCAAAACGTAATTCATCACCTTTATAGATGTTTGATTAATGATGGCATGGCATTGGGAGTGCCACGGTGAATAGCCAGCCTCCGATGGAAATTGCATCGCAACACCCTCCAAGCAAGTTATGCTGTGTCCATTGGGAATAATACCGGTAAATCCCAGTCTCATTTTTTTGTTTAAATTGAAGATAAATCGATTTTTTTTTAGTTTGAAGTCATGACATATTTCATATTCAACCATGGATGCAAGTGTGTAGAGAACCTTGTTAAAGCTAGCCGTGCAGATGACTAGAGCCTTTTGTGCTGTTGTGTATCCTTCAAGTGCCCAAAATGTGGATGAAAATCTTCAAATCACGACCGGTTTGAGCATGGTTGACTAGGGATAGCTAGCCGACACTCTTGGAAGTGTTGAAACATCCTTTAAGCTGCCGCAATTCCTCCAAATTCTATTTGATTTCCTACGTAATGCAAAACTTAAGCATTGCAAAATGAGTACGATATTGTCACAAACGAAGATGGCAACAATGTCTTCCTTTGACCATCAATGATAAGTCCTATCATCACATTATCTACATATGTTGTTATATAACATTAACACACATCTAGAGTATGGACGGGTCTACTTGACCTCACTTTCTTTAAAGAAAAATCATAGTAACGGTTGACTTAATAACATTGTCATGTATTAAACAATAGTACAATATAATTTCATGTATATATGAAGAAAAGCCGGAGGGCTGATATGTAACTATGACATATTGGAAGAGTAATGTGGGCGCTCTAGGAGATTTGCAAAGATGCGTTGGGAGTGCTTGCGGTGATCATGTCCATTGATTCTCTGACGGTGAGCAATGTGTTAAAAGGTGGAGATTTTACTAATATCCCCTTGGTCTTACAGGAGTTTGCCATTGAATTTGATAAGGTACTACCTGTTGCACCCCCTTTAAGAAGGGACCCGTTCCACAATGCAAATACATCGCTTTTTACTATGATCAAATAGACCTGATTGGAAATCTTGAAATGGTCACACTGAAATTCATGAAGAAGTAAGGTAAACTTTGACAAAAAAAGTTGAAAGCGTCAAGACTCAAGAGTCTTAATGCAGTAGATTGGTTGTGATTCTAGTATGTGGAGGTTCCATTTTGATGTGTAAATATGTGAAAA